CGGCACGTTCACGACGATCAAGCCTTCTATGATCTGCGCATATACACGCACAGATATGACGAGATGGGCACAGGAGTAATCTATAAACAATCTATTAGGGTTTACTATTTTTGTTGTCGATTCTCAAGAACGAAGGAAATGTATAAATTCACTTTCAATATATGTTTAGGTTTTATTACGATTAGGATCATCGTTTTTAAAATCATAAACGTTTCCGAGGAGTGAAGGTAATTAAATTAGCAGTTGAGGAATGAAGGTAGTAAGATAAATGTTAGGGAGTAGTGAAGTTAGTTAAATTAGCAGTTGAGGAGTGAAGGTAGTTAAATGAATGTTAGGGCGGGGTGAAGGTAGTTAAATTAGCTGTTGAGGAGTGAAGGTAGTTAAATTAGCAGTTGAGGAGTGAAGGTAGTTAAATAAATGTTAGGGAGGAGTGAAGGTAGTTAAATTAGCAGTTGAGGAGTGAAGGTAGTTAAATGAATGTTAGGGAGGAGTGAAGATAGTTAAATTAGCAGTTGAGGAGTGAAGGTAGTTAAATAAATGTTAGGGAGGAGTGAAGGTAGTTAAATTAGCAGTTGAGGAGTGAAGGTAGTTAAATAAACGTTAGAGCGGAGTGAAGGTAGTTAAATTAGCAGTTGAGGAGTGAAGGTAGTTATATAAACGTTAGGGCGGAGTGAAGGTAGTTAAATTAGCTGTTGAGGGGTGAAGGTAGTTATATTAGCAGTTGAGGAGTGAAGGTAGTTAAATAAATGTTAGGGAGGAGTGAAGGTGGTTAAATTAGCAGTTGAGGGTGAAGGTAGTTAAATAAACGTTAGAGGCGGGTGAAGGTAGTTAAATTAGCAGTTGAGGGTGAAGGTAGTTATATAAACGTTAGGGCAGGTGAAGGTAGTTAAATTAGCTGTTGAGGGTGAAGGTAGTTATATTAGCAGTTGAGGAGTGAAGGTAGTTAAATAAATGTTAGGGAGGAGTGAAGGTGGTTAAATTAGCAGTTGAGGAGTGAAGGTAGTTAAATAAATGTTAGGGAGGAGTGAAGGTAGTTAAATTAGCAGTTGAGGAGTGAAGGTAGTTAAATAAATGTTAGGGAGGAGTGATAGTAGGCAAATTAACAGTTGAGGAGTGAAGGTAGTTAAATAAATGTTAGGGGGGAGTGAAGGTAGTTAAATTAGAAGTTGAGGAGTGAAGGTAGTTAAATAAACGTAGCCGAGGAGTAGAGGTAGGTAAAATAATCGCGTAGTTGACATAAGTTTGCCCCCAAAGTGAATAAAACCGGTCAGCATTAACTGATATTTTTTTACTACTGTCAACCTACAAGAAGACTTAAGAGCCACCCAAGGTGGAGGATTATTGAATATAGGTGAGTGGTATGATTACATGAGAGCAGGAAATAGGAAGCGAAGATTATGAGGTTACAGAGGAAAGAAAACAATTGATCCTGGACATGAAGAGGTTCCACAAAATAGCAGTTCTCGGGAAGATGCTGCCTGTATAGCAACTAGTTTGTATAGGGGAAATCAGGATGATTCGACCCCGTGGACGTAGCATAGCGAGGATTGGTCAGCTACAGCCGAGATATGGCAACAATGCTTCATTTTTGGTCTGGCATCATTGCAATGCCATTAGGAGTCAGCATCTGTGACGAAGGGTTCTATATACGGAGCTCAGATCAAAAGCTATCGGGACTGGTGCTATAAAAATAAAACTACAATACATATCAATTCGGCGTTTAATCTCCTTCAAAGTAGTCCCCGTTTTGAAGCCACGCACGTTATACAGCATCGTTTCCATTGATGGAAGAATTCTTGGAACTCTTTTCTTTTTTTTCTTTTTTTTTTTTGGTATAGTGAGCAGCTGTCACCTCGTATTATCTTGGATGTGCTCGACATCTTGAAATCTTGTTCCTTTCAAGTAGGATTTGATTTTTGAAGAGACAGTCGTAAGGAATGAGATTTAGGGAATAAGATGGCTGTCGGACCTGGGGAATATTGTGCTTAGCCAAAAAAACTGCTTCACATGTCTTGTGGATTCCGGGTTGAAATCCAGTACCAATAAATAACAAACGCCAGGAATGAATATATGAAAATAATGTATTGACGTAATAATACAAACGAGTAAAGCAGGTTAGTAGTTCCAGGAATACGGGTTAGTAGCGATATATATATATATATATACATAGTGTAACCCGGATATAAGAGAGTTGTCGGGACCGAAGAAGAAGTCTCTTATATCCGGGTTTGGTCTATTTTATATACATTAACACAGGCTCTAATTTGGGACTAGAGAAAATCTCTCTTATATCCGGGTTTCTCTTATATCCGGCTTTGGTCTATTTTATATACATTAACACAGGCTCTAATTTGGGACCAGAGAAAATCTCTCTTATATCCGGGTTTCTCTTATATCCGGGTTTGGTCTAATTTATATACATTAACACAGGCTCTAATTTGGGACCAGAGAAAATCTCTCTTATATCCGGGTTTATATTATATCCGGGTCTCTTATATCCGGGTTATAGTCTTTGGTATTGAAGTATCGCTGTATGACTTCTTACTGAGTCTACGTGCTCGCTCACTGTGACTCCTCCAACGCTGTTACCTCACCCCTCACTCTTCCGGTTACCTACAACCTTTTACTCTGTCACTCTGGACTCGACTCCGTCTTGCTCTCGTCTCATACTCTCGTCTCGCTCTTGCAGTAGTATATGTATATACTGGGTGAGTTCATTTGTATAAAAACGGGTGGACCCCTCAACAACATGTTATGGCCACTGATGGAACCTCTGTGGCGTGGTGAG